TGCATATTACCCTTTTATTATATAGAATAGAGGCTTGATGCATGGGTGGTGGCCTGTTGGTTTACTCAGAAGGGTGTACCGGATCAGGGTGGGTGTCCCGCTAGGGTGCCTGGCCAGCCTGGGTGAGAGGCTGAGGGCCGTTTTCAGACTGGCCACACCTGCTTCAGGGAGAGGGGTCCTGCTGGGGTGCCTGGCCAGCCTGGGTGAGTGCCTGATGGCTGTTTGCAGGCTGACCACAGCCCCCAGCCAAACAAGCTCCCAGTGGAGGCTGGCTGGAAGAAGGTATCTGGCATTTATTTATCTTCTATAATTGAAACTTTGTTGCCTTGAGCAGATGTCACAGCTGGCCAGGGCAGGCAGGAAGCTTGGCTTCCTCCATCACCGTGACAACCAAGCCTCCTGCTTGCTCCTGCACCGTGGCTGCCGGCCACCATCTTGGTTGGGTTAATTTGCATATAGTCACTCTGATAGGCTGGTGGGCGTGCTTGGGGCAAAGTGGAGGTGCGGTCAACTTGCATGTTTCTCTTTTATTAGATTAGATATCTATATAATAAAAGCCCAGTGACTGTTATGGTGAACCGACCAAAACGACCAGTCGCACCCTTTTTTGTCCCTTGTGACACATAAAAATTAGTATATTTGAGTGGGACACCAGAGTGAATAGACTACCAGTGGTGGTTGGATGGCTCCAACATTTGGGTACATCCATTATCACTTGTAGCGTTCACTTAGGGGACACTCTCCTGATTTAGGGAGTGGCAAGTACTGTGTGGCAATAATGGCAGTAAATCTGAATAGAGATAAAACCCTCATGTGATTCACTGTTTTATTTGGGTTTGCCTATCATTTAAGAATAAAAGTTTGCCCTAACTGGTTTGGCTCAGTGGATAGAGCATCAGCCTGTGGACTGAAGGGTCCCAGGTTCGATTCCGGCCAAGGGCATGTACCTTGGTTGCGGGCACATCCCAGTAGGGGGTGTGCAGGAGGCAGCTGATAGATGTTTCTAACTCTCTATCCCTCTCCCTTCTTCTCTGTAAAAAAAATCAGTAAAATATATATATTTTTAAAAGACCCTATTAAAAAAAAGAATAAAAGTTTATCCCTGGCCAGTTTTGCTCAGTGGATAGAGCGTCGGCCCGCGAACTGAAGGGTCCCAGGTTCAATTCTGGCCAAGGGCACATGCCTGGGTTGCAGGCTCGATCCCCAGTACGGAGTGTGCAGAAGGCAGCCAAGCAATGATTCTCTCTCATCATTGGTGTTTCTCTCCCTCTCCCTTCCTCTCTGAAATCAATAAAGAAATATTTTTTTTATCAATAAAAGTTTATAAATATAAATAGGAGTTATCAGTTGTGATATTCTTAGGTTTATTTTCTTATCCCTAAAAATGTTCAGTGGTTTCTTCATGTGTCTGAATCCTAAACTGAGTTTATATTAACAGGGACTGTGGAAGCAATATTGCCGGTAAATATTTTCTAACTTGATTTGATTTAGAGAGGGGTACCAAATTTCAAAATAATAAACCAAAGAGTTTGCAGAATAGCATTTTTAAATTACCTGGCCCAAGTCTTTAATCAGTGTTCAATAAATAGATATTTGCAATTTAAATATTTTAAAGTGGGCTCTATCTTCACCATGTTAGTATGTGTTTTTTTAAAATGGGTGTTCTTTTGGCCAAAAGGAGTAAGCTACTAAGGTCATTGAAGCATACTTACCAGCCTTTCTTATAGATAGACTAGAGGCCTGCTGCACTGCACAAAATTCATGCACTGGGGGCCGTGGTCCCCAGCCTGGCCTGTGCCCTCACACAGTGGGTTAGCCCCACGATTGATCTCCACAAAGAGGTAGGCCCCGCCCACACATCCAGAGCTCCTCAATGGATTTCCCCAAAGAGGTAGGCCAGAGCCAGGGGTCCCACCCCTGGCATTGCCGGGTGGAGCCGAGGGACCTTCCTCCGCGCCACGCACACAGTGTCAAGTCCCCGCCACGCACACAGTGTCAAGTCCCCGCCCACCCACATTCATCTGCTGCACACACAGTCTCCGGGTGATGGATTGTTACACTGTGACAGCGTGAGGGTGTGACAACCACATAGGCTTTTATTCATATAGATTCCCTATGCTATGCTTCACAACCCCATGACTATCCTGTTACTATAAATCCAATTTGTACTTCTTAATCCCATCATGTTTTTCACATATCCCCCCAACTCTCCTTCCATCTAGCAACCATTCAAATGGTCTCTGCATCTGTGAGTCTTTATCTGTTGCTGTTTGTTGATTTATTTTGTTTTTTAGATAATACGTATAAGTGAAATCATATGACATTTCCCTTTCTCTTTTTGTCTTATGTCACTCAGCACAGTATCCTGTAGGTCCACCCATGCTGTTGCAGACGGCAATATTTCATTCTTCTTAATGGCTCAGTCATGTTCCATTGCATATATACACTACTTCCTTATCCACTGACCTACTGATGGGCACTTGAGTTACTCCCATATCTTGGCTATTGTAAATAATGCTGCAATGAACATATGGATACATATTCTGGTATTATATTCATTTTTAAAATATATTTTTTTATTAATTTCAGAGATGATGGAAGAGGGAGAGAGAGATAAAACATCTATGATGAGAGAGAATCATTGATCAGCTGCCTCCTGCACGCCCCTCATTGGAGATCGAGCCTGCAACCCGGGCTGGAATAATGTGCCCTTCACTGGAATCAAACCCGGGACCTTTCAGTCCTCAGGCTGACACTCTATCCACTGAGCCAAACCAGCTAAGGCAGTTCTGATATTATAGTCTGATAAAGTTATACTATGGGTGTCAAGAGTTATATCAGCTTATCCTATACTCAGATGAAACTTCAGCATAAACATTTTTATGCAGTAAAATGAATGAATGCATTGTAAAGAATAAAGAGCTGCACCCTTTTCTTTTAAAGAGAGTGGATGTCACTAATTATCCCCTTTTTATTCTTTCAGCTGTGGGGTACAGATTTTGACCCAAAGATTGTCCTCCCATGCCTGCAGAAGACACTCCAGGGCCTCCATCTAGATTATGTTGATCTTTACATCATGGAAACACCCATGGCTCTTATGGTGAGTTCAGACACCTAAAGGTTTGGTCTCTGCTCTTTGGCAGCCACAAGCCAGCAGCCATGTGCACGAAACTAGTTAATTACTTAGCACCACAGAATGTTATCATTTTGTTACCATAGGTTAGACAACACTGGCTAGCCTAACAAATGCCCAGAAAGATTATGTGTAACAGACTTAGGCTTGGATCCCATGTTTCTTGATTCCTAATCTAATGCACTTTTTATTATAGCATGTCTTTACAACTGTAGTTTAAGCTGTCCATCAAACCATCAAGTAGTCCCCAAACAGTAGTCCAATTTTACCTGTCCAGCATCCAGACACACCCTTCTTCCCACTCATATAGACTTGAAAATATCTCTGCACGACAAAACGCAAAATAATATATACAACTGAAAACTTACTCACCTTCCACCCCCAAAAAGGGAAATAACCCAAAGAATGGTCAGGTTTTTGGGGGGTCAGCAACAAGATCATGGTGATAGCTATTCCTCTGGTTCAAATGCACTTCTTCCTTAAACTTTCTCAATCTATGGACTCTCTGTTAATTTAACCACCAACAACACATCCCTACTGCTTTCAAATGTCTCCGAGAGAGACTGAAAATGAAACTAGTCATTGAGGTGCCCAGATTTCCTTCACACAAGCAACCTGGCTGCCCCTGTTCTGTTCTCTGGAAGCTCTTTCCTTGATGACTCTTCTCTATGGTAACATCCAAAAGGGACTTTGGGAAAGATTCCCCTTTTGCATTCTTCATACGAATTTGCAGGCTTCACAATGGCCTTGGTTAAGCAAAGGCTTTCAGTGGCCAGTTTGGGATTTCGTGGACAGTCAATATCCCTTAAAAATTTGCTTGGCTTTCAGTAAATTCACATTCAGTCAGCTCCATTAAAGAGTAATTAAAACTAGAAATCTTCTTGTATCTAATCTTTAGCCTGTGGTTTCTGAATCTTAGTAAAGAAATATCCTATTCTCGCTCATCTGATCAGTCCTTAGCTTAATGCCCCTTCTGACTTGAAATAATACAAAACAGGGAGGCACAGGTCATGCATTCTTTGGACCCAGTCTCCATCTCATTGGATGGTGCTCCTTTGTTGGTTGTGGCATCATTGGCCTGAGATCTTGCCTTCAGAAAGAAATGGACAAGGATTCTCCCAAAGTCCAATTTTATTTCCCTCTAGGATTCTTACCTTCCTGTCTTGGCTGACACAGACTTTTCTAACTCTAGAAGGCTCAGAGCTGAACTTCTGCCATTTGGGGAGGCATCTAGAAGCAGAAAGTACCTGTTTTAGCAAAATATGATCTTACCACTCATCTTACAAGCCAAGTAGCAATAAACACATTTATATTTCTTCAGGACCTGACTGAAGACTGCAAAAATGGCCAACAAACTCTAACACCCAATGTTTTCCTACTAAGTGCCCTAAAGCTCCAATCTTAGTATGCCCATTGTCAGAGTCTCAAGACACAACAAGGCAACAATTTAACAAGATGCCATGCTATTGCATAGTAAGAATATCCAATTCTCAGCTGGAGAATCCTCACTATCCACAATCCCATACTGACCTACCCAATTCCACACTCTTTGTTCATTACTTTCCATACACAAAACCTTTGTTTTAGTCAGAACTCTTGTTACAAATGGCAGAAACCCAACTCAAATTGGCATTAGCAAAAAAAGGAACTAAGAATTCCAAGGCATATCTAATTCCAATGGACTAGATCCAACTAAGTGCCCTAAAGCTCCAATCTTAGTATGCCCATTGTCAGAGTCTCAAGACACAACAAGGCAACAATTTAACAAGATGCCATGCTATTGCATAGCAAGAATATCCAAGTCTCAGCTGGAGAATCCTCACTATCCACAATCCCATACTGACCGGGCCAATTCCACACTCTTTGTTCATTACTTGCTATACCCAACACCTTTGTTTTAGTCAGAACTCTTGTTATAAATGGCAGAAACCCAACTCAAATTGGCATTAGCAAAAAAGGGAACTGAGAATTCCAAGGCATACCTAATTCCAAAGGACTGGATCCAGAAGTTCAAACTATCTATCTACACTCTGGCCCTTTCTCTATTCCTGTGTTCTGGTGGCTTAATTCTCAAAAATTTCTTTCTGTATGATGGCAAAATGCCCATTGACATGCCAAGACCACTTCACAATACAACTTAAGAATTCAGAGGAAGAGAGACTACACATTAAACCTCATAAAGAAACACAGATCAGCCTTGCTTGGGTCACATAACTTTTGCTGACTAATCTTTGTGTAAGGGCATTGGTGTCTGACATCTGTGGCCAAGAATTGGAGCTGGGTCAGCCCACACAATGTGCAATGAGCTCCTCTATAAAAGAAGGCTAAGGATAGTAGAAAGCAAAATAACCGATTTCCACTGCACTCATTAATCAGAGGTCACGTAGCAAGCATGGTGGTATGAAGCATGGGCTACAGAATCAGGGCACCTTGTTTGCATCCCAGCTCTGTCACATGTGAGCCAGATGACTTGGTCAAGTTATTACCTGATCCTTTCACACATCACCTAAACATGGTCCAGTGGAAAGAGTATGAACTTTGGAGTCACACAGAAGAGGGACTGACTTTCAGTTTTATTGTGTATTAGCATATTGTCTTTGATATTCCTGAACTTTCCTTCAATTTCATGATTGGTAAATTGGAGACGATACCAACTCATTTGCCAAGTGTTGTGAGGAGTCATTAGTATTATATATGTGAAATTACAGACACATTGCCTGACATTTCATTGCTAATAAAATGTTATAAAATCTTCAGGTGGAAATATATATTCCAATATACAGAATATCTTCAGTTCACAAAAGAAAAGTTTGAGGTCCCAGGCAATGAAATAGGTAACTCAGGTTTAAATCCATCAGACTGAGACCAGATCCTGGATCCCCTGATGCCAATCCCATATTTGTTCTTCTACACTGTACAGCCCCTTCTGCCTTATGCTTTTTAAATGAGGAATGGCATTTTTAAAAGATAAATGAAGTTACCGATGGACAGGAATGAGAATCAATAGCATGGATTTTTAGAGGGTTGAATTATTCTTCTAATACTGTCTTACAGTAGGAGCAGGAGTAGAGGGAGAAAGACCATGGAATGATTCGGATGAGGGATGAGTAAGGTAGGCACAATGGAAGCTTAAGAGGAACATCATGGAAATAGCTAACATGGGTTCAGAAATGATAAGGACTTAATAAAAATCAGGGTAAGTAAAAAATATTTAACACAGTATATGATAGAGGCATAAAACCATTCTGAGCACAAATAAAATTGGGAAATGCAAAAGGCAAGAAATAAGGAGAGAGACTGGAGTTGAAATGTGGGCCATAGTGTTGAGAAGTACAAAGAGCTTGGGAAGCAGAGACAGAAAGGGTAATTAACATGAATGATTATGTGGTATTGAGGAATAAGTGAGACAGGAGGAAACTGAGTCAAAATTGTGTTTGCTAAGTTATCACGAGGGGAAAGTTTTGTCAGGTGAGATGCAGAAGAAAAAAATATATATAATGAATTTTGTCCAATGGCTTGATTTTCAATAAAAATTCCTATTACCCTAAAAAGACTTCAATGCTGCCAACCATACAAAATAGACACTGTATCCTCATATTATTTGACTAGAGGCCCAGTGCACGAAATCCATGCACTTAGGGGGTCCTTCAGCTCGGCTTGTGTCCTCTCGCAGTTCAGGACCCCTTGGGGGATGACCGTCTGCTGGCCACCACCGCCACTGCACTTGCCAGCCGTGAGCCTCGTTTCTGGCTGAGTGGCGCTCCCCCTGTGGGAGTGCACTGACCACAGGAGGCAGCTCCTGCATTGAGTATCTGCCCCCTGCTGGTCAATGCACATCATAGCAACCGGTCCTTCTGCTGTTCCATTGATTTGCCTATTAGGATTTTATTATATAGAACTAGAGGCCCGATGCACAAAAATTTGTGCACTCTGGGGGAGAGGGGTGTCCCTCAGCCAGGCCTGTGCCCTCTCGCAGTCTGGGACCCCTCACGGGATGACCACCTGCTGGCTCAGGCCCGCTCCCCAAGGGATTGGGCCTAAGATGGCAATCAGACATCCCTCTGGCAGCCTGGCAGCCCTCGGGGGATGTCCACTTGCCAGTGGGAGCAGGCCTAAGCTGCAGTCTGACATCCTTAGAGCTGCTGAGGAGGCAGGAGAGGCTCCCACCACCACCGCTGTACTGGCAGCCATCAGCCTGGCTTATGGCTGAGCAGAGCTCCTCCCATGTGAGAGCGCACTGACCACCAGGGGGCAGCTCCTGCATTGAGCATCTGCCCCTTGCTGGTCAGTGCACATCATCGCAACCAATCCTTCAGCTGTTCCGTTGATTTGCCTATTAGGATTTTATTATATAGGATATCTTTCAACACAGGTGACCATTATCTCCTGTACACTTTTTCTTCTTGTGATTTCTATAATACCACGCTCTCTTGATTCTTTGGCAGCTTCTCTGCCAACCTCCAAATGTTGTTATGCCCAGAATAGTACTTCTATTCTCAATATTCTTGTCTTACTGAGCCACCCTGTGTCTATAAATGACTTCATATAGTTGGAAGGATTGATTTTTATTTTATATGTAAGGGCTACCAACTTTTGTCTACAGCTATGGCGTCTTTCTAAGCATCTTTCTGAGACTTCTCTGTTCACCTGCCTTCTCGAATAGCCACTTGAACGTTTGGTCATTTCAAACTCAAAATATTCATAAAAAACTCTTGATTGCTAACCCAAACTCAGGAAATGATTACCACCATCCACCCCAGGAGCCTAGGAATCATCTTTCATTTCTCTCTATTCCATTTTCAAGCCCATAAGAAATGAGTCGCATGTTTAGATACAGCCAAAAAAGAGAAATCTGAAAGATAACATTCCACACCAGCTAGCCTTAGTTGGGAAAGGATCGCCCAAAAACCAAAAAAGGGGAGTTGACACTAGCTATGGTGTGAAGTAGGAAAAAGAAATGCTGAACTCCTGGAAGTCCCCAAAATGAAAGGAAAAAAACCAGTGAGCAAGTCTGCCAGAACTGAAAAGTAACATGCCGTGTTCTCCTCAACTTTGGTAAGGCTAGACTGTCAAAACACTGAGTCTCAACCTCTACTATTTTTTATGAGAAATTCTGTCATTAGGAGAGAATTCATGGCTTAAGAACAATAATCTGTTGATAAATAAAGGGAAAGTGAATGCCAGTACGTATAGGATAATAAGATTAATGTGTCACATATTTTGGAAAAATAAAGAATTTTTGGACAGTCGCATAAAAGTAGTAAACATATATGTAAATATAATTTATTATATAATTATATAATCACTACCAGCCCGGTGCCCAAATTCGTGCACGGGTGGGGTCCCTCGGTGTGGCCTGTGGGGATCGGGCCCCAAGCTCGTGCCCCCCACCTCACAGCCCCAGCTCACAACCCCATCCTTGCAGCTCCCACAGCCCCACCTGGCACCGGGCCTTGTCCTGGTGCTGCCCCATCACCTGCTCTACCATCCTGCCTGCAGGGCAATTGATTGGGGTAGGGCCACCTGCCCTGCTCCCTCAGCACCTGGGAGCCGGGCAGTGGCCCCACCCCCTGCCACCGCTACTGGTCACTGTCTGGTCACTGGGCGGCAATCAGTCATAGCTGCCCTCCCCCTCACCCGGCTCCTCAATGCCTGGGAGCCAGGCGGCAGCCCCGCCCCTTGCCGCTGCGGCTGGCACTGCCTACTCACCTTCTCCACCATCCCACCGAGGTCCCTCTCTCATCAGGTCCCATTAGGGCTGGTAGCATCTCCACTGCCTCCAGCTGCTAGCACTGTGTCACCGACACCCACCATTTCTGTGCCACCCCCTGGTTGTCAGCGCACATCATAACGAGTGGTCAAACTCCCAGTCAAAGGGACAATTTGCATGTTAGGCTTTTATTATATAGGATATAAAAAATTAAACTTGAATTGCTTTCCCAGAGCTAGGGTATATTGGTCTAAAGACAATTAAATTCCATCATTTCAATTCCCAGATATAAATGAAATGAATTACATTTGTTTTTGTTTTACTTTCTCAGCCTGGAAAGGAAATGTTTCCTAAAGATGAGAATGGCAATTGGATAGTTCCCCAGACAAATCTGTGTGCTACTTGGGAGGTAAGTTCAAGTGGGCCTTGTATTCTTTCATTTTAAAAGACTATATTTTTGAATTGTGATCTGATTATTCCTATTTGATTTAGGAAGAGAGGCAGCCTTTACCCTCCCATTCCAAATTCTGGAGTCATGGAATATACTCTAATGAGTACAGCATTGCTTTCTAATGGGTGTCCCCCTCTAGGTAACATTGAAGACCTGAAGGGTGGAGTTGTTTTGAGGGGTGAAGAGGCCGCTACTAGTTTTCTGGTGCTTGGGGCTCTCTACCCAAGAGACGACATACTGACTCCTGATGTCATCGGAGCTGAGTAATTTGAAGTCTGGTGTTTCTCTCTAAGGGTCTGCCTGACAGGTTAGCCAGTATCCCCAGGAGAAAATAAGCTCATTGCTCAAAATAATAAGGTATTTATTTCAAAAGGAAACAGCATATCTCAATTACAGATCCCAACATAAACAGAACAGAGAACCAAGGACGTTTAAATTAGCCAATTAATATATTAAAGAGATAAGAAAAGATATTAACAATGAGAAATAAGAAAACATTTTTTAAAAACAAGTATTAAGTAATAATTAGGAAAAATAAAACACAATGCAATAGATGGGATAAATATGAAACGGATATAAAGAAAAAGGGATCAAACTGAAAGATCAGAATGAGGAAATCTCCCAATATGAAGTAGGAAAAGACAAGAAAAAAATTGAATATGAAAGAAAAGCAAAGAGATGTACAGTACTTAGAATTTTCGGTACTCACATAATAGAAAAACAAGAAAGAAAGAAAAAGGTAAAGAGGTAATATTTAAAGGAAAAAAAACAGAGATACTGAATGAGCATAGATTACCAAAGAGTGAAGAGAAGGAAACCCACACCTAGACACAATATAGAGAAATTTAAGAATATCAAATATAAAGAAAATGTTAATGCTTCCAGAGTATAGCAAACAAGTCAGTAAAGGGGACAAAATGGAATAATAAAAGATAATCCAAGACAAGGCAGGAAAAGAAAAACAGAAGGTATATGAATAGATGAGGAAATAAAAAAACAAATACCAAGATGAAAGATTTAAACTCAGTGATATCAATAATCACAGTACATATACATATTTAAAACAATGCAGTTAAAAGGCAGAGGTCAGAATGGACAAAAAGCAAAACCCCACTATATGTTATATACAAGAAACCCATTTTAAATAAAAACGTTTATACAAACATGTTTAAAGTCAAAGGTTTAAAAAATTATAGGACAGGAAAAAATATACTATGCTAACAGTAATAAAAAGAAAGCTGGAGTAGCTATTTTAATATCAACAAAGATTCCAGAGCCTCTTTATTCCCAGGGATAAAGAACTTTGTTTTATAATAAAAAGGTAATAAATCCTAAACATCTATGCACCTAATAACAAAACTCCAAAAATACATGAAGCATAAACTAACAAAACTGAAAAGGGAAAGGCAATAAAAGAATCATTCATACTAGTATATAATGAGACTAGACACCTGGTGCACAAAATTCATGCATGGGGTGGGGGGTGTACTTCAGCCCAGCCTGCACCCTCTCCAATCTGGGACCCCTTGGCGAAAGTCCAACTGCCAGTTTAGAGGATTGGGCTTAAACTGGCAGGTAGACATCTGTCTAACAATCCTGGACCGCTGGCTCCTCATCACTCACATGCCTGCCTTCCTGGTCACCCGTAACTGCCTCCCCCCGCCCTGCTGGCCTGATCACCCTCACTGCCTATGCAGGCCACCCTGATCGCCCCTAACTGCCCCCCCCACCAGCTTGGTTGCCACCAACTGCTCCCCCTGCTGGCCTGGTCACCCCATGCAGCCTGCTTGTTCAGTCGTTTGGTCGTCCCTCATTAAATCCCTGCCAGCCTGGTCATAGGCAGCCATCTTGTGAAGGCATGAGGGTTAATTTGCATATTACCTCTTTTTAAAAAAATATATATTTTATTGATTTTTTTACAGAGAGGAAGGGAGAGGGATAGAGAGTTAGTAACATCGATGAGAAACACTGATCAGCTGCCTCATGCACACCCCCTACTGGGGATGTGACTGCAACCAAGGTACATGCCCCTGACTGGAATCAAACCTGGGACCCTTTAGTACGCAGGCCGACATTCTATCCACTGAGCCAAACCGGTTAGGGCAACATACTACCTCTTTATTATATAGGATTGGTATCAGTTTTGTTTTGATCAGTTCTGTTATATTATCAGCAGCAAAAGAGATAAAAGAATAGTATTTTCAAAGTATTAAAGAATAAAGAACATTGAACTTGAACTTTATATCCAAACTGTAAGACAAAAATGATGCATGATGAAAATATTTTCTGATCCATACATTGCTCAGAAGTTTTGCCACATAAAGACCAACACTGAAAACTATTACTAAATAAGAGGAGCAAAACTCTAAAAGATGCTTCAAGAAGTGTATAAACTGAAAGTAATCAAATCAAATATGACATAGTTTTTATTATCTATAAAATTATTTAATATTAAATAAAGAGAGAAAAATATACCTATAATAATAGGAAATGAAATTCTGCATAGACTATTAATATCATAGATGTTGGGGTGAAGGTAAATCAAGGAATGTGTGAGCATATAAGTTCTTATCTTTATTAAAGGAAAGATATAGTATAAACTTTTTAAAAGGAAGTATTAAAAAGAAACATAAAAGTGGGAAAAACTGAAGTAGGAAATTAAGATGGTAGAAACAATCCAAATATATTTATAGTTACATTAAATATGAACTAAATTCGCCTACTAAAAGGCACAAAGATTGACAGATTAGAATTAAGCACATCTAAACATAAAGGCATGTGAAAAATTAGGCTAGGCCCAATTTTATATTAAAATTTAAAGGAAGGGGGGGTGGGAATCTTATCAGTCTAATACTTAGAAAAAGTTGTATAGTTATATTAATACTAGAGGCCCAGTGCACAAACTTCATGCACAGGTAGGGTCCCTATGCCTGGCCAGCGATCAAAGCCAATCAAAGCCTTATGGCTCCTGGCTGGGGCCTTCCTTCATTCCATGCCGCCCTCTGGTGGTCAGCACACATATCGAGTGGTCCAACTCCTGGTCGGTCAAACTCCCGAGGGGACAATTTGCATATTAGCCTTTTATTATATAGGATCAGACAACATAGTTTTTTATTTTATTCTTTAATCCTCACCTGAGGACATGTTTATTTTTATTTATTTTTTCATGATTTCAGAGAGAGGAATGGAGAGGAAGAGATAGAAACATCAATGATGAGACAGAATCATCCATCAGCTCCCTCCTGCATGCCACCAAAGGGGACCAGGCCACAATCTGGGAATGTGCACTGACTAGGAATCAAACTGTCATCTCCTGGTTCATAGATCAATACTCAACTACTGAGACATACCGGCTCAAATAGGTACCCAATAAAATATCTGCAAATATATGAAACAAAAATTATATGAAAACATTTTAAAGTAGAGCCCAACGGGCGAAGCTTTGTGGTTGAGCATGAACCAAGAGGTCAAGGTTTGATTCCACTCAGGGCCCATACCCAGATTGCCAGTTAGAACTCCAGTGGGGGGAATAAGGGTTTCAGGAGGCAGATGGTCAATGATTCTCTCTCATCTTTGGTTTTTCTTTCTCCCTCTTCCTCCCTCTGAAATCAATAAAATTATTTTTTTTAATTTTTAAATAGAATGCTTGAAAACATTGATAACTTCAATATTATAGTGGGAGATTACTGTCATATTCCTATAAATTATTGAGAAGCCATGAAAAGCTCATATATGTATAAAGAGAGTGAGAGACAGAGATAGAGAAGAGAGATTTGCATCAAAAAACAGCAGAATGTACATTTTTTTACACATTTAAGACACTTATTAAAATTGATTAGGTACCATACCATAAAGAAAGCCTCAACAAATTTAAAGAAATAAGATCATTATAAACAAACAAACAAAAAAGAAATAAGATTATTATATATATATTACCGGAGAAAGATATGGTATACAATATACCGCAAACAATTCCTACTTGTGTCCACCCCACATTTTTTTCTTCACAGAATGACTATTAACATAACCAGTTAGGGCCCTTTTTAAAGAATTTATACTAACCTTCTAAACATTCATTCTTGCTTGTTTTGAGGCTTCTTTCTAAATTCAATGGCATTTACTCTACACAGGCTTTGGAAGCTTGCAAAGATGCTGGCTTGGTGAAATCCCTTGGTGTATCCCATTTTAACCGGAGACAGCTGGAACTAATACTGAACAAACCAAGACTCAAGTATAAGCCAGTCTGCAACCAGGTACAGTCTGATAAGAGGGTGGGATGTGACAAGGAATTTCAAGAGTTACTTAACATAAAGGACCATGGGTTAGGTGTCAGAAAGTTTTGTGCTCACTCTACAAAAAGACCCTGGACAAGTTTTTAACTTCTCTCAACTTATGTCTCTTAAAAAATAACAAATAAAGATTTGAAAGTTTAAATCCAGACCAAAGTAACCCCCAAAAATTTTTGAAGAAATATAATGATGGGAACAAGACCTGCCCGATATTAAGACAGTTGGAATAGAAGAGATTAAAAATGGTAGCAGAGTAAGTAGATGCTACACAGACCCACTTCCAGGATCAAACTGGAATTGCAACTAAATACAAAAAAACCCATATCCTGAGTAATCAACTGAAGACTAGCTGGAGAGAACCCTGATAACCAGCCATGAAAAATGGAGACCTCAGAGAGACTGGTAAGAAGGGTGGAGATGTGAAAGGGATGGACGGGATCTAAGAGACAGCAGATGAAGTTCTGGAGATATATCTCAGCTGTGGGGGGTTCCAACTAAGAACTCTGGGGTTTAATCCCCAGGCTGGGCCCCCAGCAGGGAGCACCAGAACTAAAAAAGGTGCCCACATAACATCTGGCTGTGAAAAGCAGCAGAGTTGCTGTCTGCCAGGCAGAAATGGCTGGAAATGCAGGCACCCTCTTAAAGGGCCAATGCACAAAATTCAATGTGCAGCCACTCACGTTGGGCTCTCGTAGAGGTAAAGCAGAGTGGACTGGAGCTCTGTGAGCAGAAGCTAGATTTGGGTGCTCTGGATTAGCTCAGAAGGCAGACACCCTAGCCCTAGCTGGTTTGGCGCAGTGGATAGAGCGTCAGCTTGTGGACTGAAGGGTCCCAGGTTCGATTTCAGTCAAGGGCACATGCCTGGGTTTTGGACTCAGTCCACAGTAGGGGGCATGCAGGAGGCAGCTGATCAATGATTCTCTCTCATCACTGATGTTTCTCTCTCTCTCTAACTCTTCCTCTCTGAAATCAACAAAAATACATTTTTTTAAAAGAGACAAAGAATAATAATCTATAGGAAGAAGCAATTGCTCCAATTGCCCAGTTGGTAAACCTCTCACCACACCTGTGTATGATTGCCTAAGGACTACTCAAGACTGAATCCAGTCAGTCTCAGGCAGAGATGGGTCTCTGGAGGCTTTGAGACTTTGCCTGATCTAATTAGTCAGAAACAGCATTTGACACTGTCCTTCAATAGAGATTGGGAATCATATCAAATCTACCTAATACATAGTCATAAAGCCAAACAGGCAGCAATAATGAGAAGACAAAAAACAAACACCACATAATAGAACAAGAGAGTTTTCCAGAAGAAGAGATAAATGAAATGGAGACAAGAAATTTATCTGATATAGAATTCAGAATAATGATGATAAAGATGCTCAACAGCATGAGAAAAGATATAGTAACTATGGAAAAAGAATAGTTGGAAATAAAGAATGACCTAGTACTAATAAAGAACACATTGGAAGGAATACACAGCAGATTAGGGGAAGCTGAGGATTAGATTAGTGAATTAGAAGACAGGACAGAAAAAAATCACACAGAGAACAAAAAGAAAAAAACAATTGAAAAACAAGAAGACAGCTGAGCTGTGGGACAACATGAAATGGAAAAATATTCGCATAATAGGTGTACCAGAAAAGAAAGAAAGTGAGCAAGAGACAGAGAACATGTTTGAACAAATAATAGCAGAATATTTCCCTCACCTGGTGATGGAAAAATTCACACAATTAGGAGGCAGAGAAAGTCCCAAGCAAGAAGAACCTAAAGAGCCCAACACCCAGACACATCATAATTAAAATGTCAAAAATTAAACAAAAAAAAAGAGAATCTTAAAGGCAGCAAGAGAAAAGCAATTTCTTACCTACAAAGGAACTCGCATAGGCTGTCAGCTGATTTATCATCAGAAACTCAACCAGTAAGAAGGAACTGGAATGAACTACTCAAGGTAATGAAAAGCAAGGATCTGAAACCAAGATGACTATATCCAGCAAGGCTATCATTCAAAATAGATGGTGAAATAAAGAGCTTCCCAGATGTAAAAAAAAAATTTTAAAAAAGCCAAAGGAGTTTATCACCACCAACCAGCATTGCAAGAAATGCTAAAGGGACTGCTGAAATGAGAAGAAGAAATAGAGAGAGAAATCTAGGCAAACAGAATACAAATAGCAGTAAAAAATTATCGATCAATAATAACCTTAAATAAAAATGAATTAAATACTAAGGCTCAACAGGAAAATGGGCAAAAGTAATGAATAGAAATTAGCAAAAGACAATTTGCAAGATTGGTAAACATATGAAAATGTGTAATTGTGCTAGTAATAACAGAAATGGTGTGGGGAAATGCCTAGTTAGGTGGAAACAATACAGATCTTTGCCTCATACCATACTCCAAAATTAATGTCCCTATGATTTAGAGTTATAGAGAAAGACAAAGTCATTGTAAATACTACACAAGAATTTCAGTTTTCTGAAGCTATGGAGAGAAAAGTAAGCCATGGAAAAAATATAATGAAGATGTTAAATTTAATAGTATAAAAATGTTAACTGTAAAAATATCAGAAGCAAGGAGCAAGTAAATATAGATAATTGTATTTTTAAATATAATAGAAAAGAGGTTTATATCCTTGTGAATTAAAAGTCTAATAAAAATCAATGAAAAAATAGAATACTAAGAATCAACAGGAAAATGGTCAAAAGTAATGAATAGAAATTTGCAAAAAACAATTTGCAAGATTGGTAAACATATGAAAATGTGTAATTGTGCTAGTAATAACAGAAATGTAAATTTAAGTGTGATGACATGCTCCCTCTCCTGAGAGCATGCAAACACCTTTCTCTTCCCCTTCTTCTTCCCTCTCAGGCGTTCATCTACTAAACTCTAGGGGACGCCAGGAGACCTGCAATCAGGGGAGCAATGGCCAGAGACAGCTCAACCTGGGCTAACCCCCTGAAACTGCCTCCAAAGCCCCCTTTTATCTGATTTGGCTCACTGAGAAATTAGTGTTTTTAGTAACTTAAAAAGTCTGGCATGAGTCCATGACAGAAAGAATGAATTATTACCTACATCATGACTATAGCCCACAGCTAAAATGGAAGAGTGGCTATTTTACAAGTACCACTTCCAAACTGACACCTAAGCTAACACTATACAATATGCTCTCAGGTATACAGAGTAGCAACCTTTGACTTCCTAGCTGACCTCCATTCATCCCTATATTCCTCCTTTTCCCTCACCAGCACATCTCCTTCCTACACCCCCAAGAACAATATTCTGTCATTTAAATGTTGAAATGACAATAGGTTTCTTACAAATCTACTTATATAAAAACCATGGGTGGTGTTCATCACGACCAGGGTCTGGCTGGCGACCAACCGGAAGGAAGTCAGTCCTGCAGGGGTTGTCCTGGCAACGGCTGCGCCCTCACTGAGCGGTTTCCCGGGAGCTGTTTCGGGCAAGGTCGGGGTTTGAGGCAGGAACCCACCCTGGGAGCGTGGTTCCCTGGGAGTGTGCCGCACCAGCATGGCCAGGGGTGAACCTGAGTGGGGGCAGCTGAAAGGCTTAGAAAAGACAGAGAAGAGAATGAAAGCCAGGTCTGGGTGGGACGCTGCTTCTCTGAGAGACAGCGCCCATGCCCACAGCCATGCCTTTATTTTATAACAGACGCTATGAGGCAAAGTAAGGGCGTGACCACGATGTTTACAACATTCTCCTGGGTTTCAATCCTACTCAACTACATGCACCTGAAC